TGCATCTGTATAAACACTGCAGACAAGTGAAGATTAAAAGTGAGAAAAACGAAAACAAAATTGGGGAACTATAAGATAATTCATCTCTACCTATACAATATAGAGATAATCCATGTATCGGAATTGAAATGACTCATAGGCAAAAATTTGAAACCATCATAAGATTATAGTTTAAGCAGAACTTATTGAGTTTTACTTGGTGGAACATTCATCGACTTACAGTTGGAAGTTGACGGAGAGACGGACCAAAGGCTAGGCCTCAACCCACTGACCACTGCATCCACATTACCAACAAAAAATGGTGATTTGAACGAACATACATATCACAATGAGCGAAAAGGTGACAAAATTGAAACCGGCACATCATACAGTGCCTTAATAGGTCGTACACTCGGCATCATAAAAATTAGCATATAACCAGCAGAGATTGGCATAACCACTATAGGCCAGTCCTATGATATTATTGTTTATGCTGACAGTGTAGCTCGGATCATTAGCATCAACTTTCCAACAAAAGATTTGGAAATTCAGTCAGTCAAACCTTTAATACTGGTTCGCCTTTGTTAGAGCTGGCAGCTTGCTTTGCAGCCGCCTGTTGCTGTTGCTGTGCACGCGCAGCTCTTCCTGCTGCAGACTTTTCGAATTCTTCTTGCCTGAAATTGTGGTTGCAGTAAAGTGTGCTCAAATAACGACGAAAGAAACCATCATGTGGGCACAGTAGTAATAGAACTACGATTCACACCCTATCAATGCGGCGCTATCTGCCTAACAAAATGCAAATATGACCTTTGGCAGGTTTTATGATTTTCACACTCTATACTTAGGTTTTGTTTGCAATACTGCCGGTTAACAGAATTACCGCAAAATGTTAGCACAGTTAGGTCTTGGACTTAACAAAGTTAAAATTCTGCAAGCAGAGACAATCCTATAGCGTTGAAACAAATTGCTTAAACATGAACAAACAATCGATGGAAATGGCGAACACAATCAACAAGATGAAGAAGATTTAACATGGTATTAATATGGAATGTGCATTGTCCTAACAAGGTCTACTCAGAATTCTGATCATCAAATTCATCCTATTTTTTCCCTATCCCATTTCCAAACTACTCTAATCTACGAGGAGCGGAATTTGAAATCGGGTGCCAATGGACGAACACACTGCTTAACCCACATCTGATTCCATATCCCTTTCCAAATTAAAACAAACAAAAAAAAAACAAAAAAAAGCTGATTTTTTATCCCCATGACAATTACAAATCCTATCCAAAATCACATCCTTACATACAAATTGATCGACTTGCAACAACGATACAAATATAAATTTCCAATTTCGAAAAATGAAAAATGGTCGAATTAAAAATTAGAAGGAAAAAAAAAAGAGAGAAATAATTTTACCTTCTCTGGGCAGCTTGGGCAGCGTTGGCAAGAGCTTCCGCGGAGGCTGCCCTTTCTTCTTCCCTTCTCTGTGCACTGTTGCCTCCATCGAAACAACACAGCAGCCCCATATCTCTCTTTCTCTATCTCTCTCTCCCCCTCTCTCTCCACAATCTGTGACTTCTGCTCCGATTGAATTCTAAATTTTCTGGTACATTTTTTCTTTTTTTGGCAAGTTGTTTACTTATATTTCCCACCTCTCCGGAGCATTTGCCGCGTGCCACGTCATAAAGCGAGGACAGTCTCGTCATTTGGACTGTGTTATAAACAACGTCGTTGTACGCGGTCAGGACCCCAAACGCTGCGTTTGAAAGGTTCTGCCTCCTTCAGTCCTGCTCGCTGGGAGAGTCTGTTCCGTTGCAGAAGCAAAACCCTAATTTTACACAGCGATGAGCGCCATGCCGTTGGATTCGCTGCCGCCGACCGAAACCCTAGAGAGCAATATAGAAAATGACCCAGTTTCCTCTGGATCCACCCTTATCGAAGATGCTACTCGCGAGTGTGGAACTCGGATGCAGCGATGAGATCTTGGCCATCATTGCAATGATTCAGACAGGCAATATCTTTTACAGAAAAAGAGAAGAACAAGCCAAGGCAGATCAGAAGAGAGCCAAGTTTTTTTTCACTCGCAGTCTATGAAGCTTGGAAAGCAAGTAATTTTTCGGGCCATGGTGTTTCGAGAATTTTGTTCAGTCTGGGTCCTTGAGGCGGGCGCAGGATATCAGAAAACAGGCTCCTGAGCATCATGGACAAGTACAAACTGGACTTTGTGAGTGCAGGAAGGAATTTTATGAAGATCAGGAAGGCAATTACTGCAGGATTTTTCTTCCCACGCTGCTAGAAAGGACCAGCAGGAGGGTTACAGAACCCTAACGGAGAACCAGCCGGTTTATATTCACCCCAGCAGTGCTTTTTCCAGAGACAACCGGATTGGATCATCTACCATGAGCTGGTTATGACTACGAAGGAGTTCATGCGCGAGGTGACAGTCATTGACCCCAAATGGCTGGTGGAATTGGCGCCGATGTCCTTTAAATTTGCAGATCCCAGCGTCCAGAACAAAATAAACCACTGTATGACAGATACAATGAGCCTAACTCTTGGCGTCATAAAGGATCTCCAAAGAAAATGTCAAAATGTCTAAATCAGCAATAACAATAAAAAAAGACAAATGCAATGTTTTTCCAACTTAGAAGTCAAATCTGATGTGGCATGACATAGAATAGCAGCTCTCCCTAAATTTGACATCAGCATTAAATATTTTTTATCAGATCTGCAACTCTCCTCTCTCACTCGAAGCGCCGCCGTTCTTCTTCTTCCCTTTTCTCAGCAACTTCACTAAGTTACTGCTCTGCAACAAAGCCTTATAATGCGTGCCATAGTTCGATTTTCCGATCACTTCCCCCGGAGCATCGAGAATGTCAGACTGTGAGGTCCTCCCCATCCTGAAAAGTCATCAGCTCCTCCTCTGCCTCCACAACTTCCTCTTGCTTCTGCTCTGTTTTTTCCACATCTTTTTGCTCACTTTTTGCAGTTTGCTTGCAGTAGAAGTAGATGAAAAGCAGGAAAAACACCAAAGTTGTCGATGAAGTCAGTGCAACAATCAAAGTCAGCATCTGGGTTCTGTTCATTGTGTAAAAAAATGCAATTTCTTCATGTGAAACATAGGAGGAAAACCCAGTTGAGGGATTTGGCTTTGATGTGGAGAGTTGAGAAAGTGATGAACATATTGCAGACGTGGATAGTTTTCATGGAGAAAGACTTGAATGCAACCAATGACGTATCAAAGATTTTAGACTCAGGAGGTCCCAATAATAAAGATAAAAAAATTTATATTGAAAAGCGTCCTCTCCACGCAATCTCCCATTTTGTTGCGAAGTAGACATTGAATCATATTCATAGCGAAAAATGTCATCTCCATTAAAGCAGTTGCAATCGGTAAAACCAAAGCTCATTGAAAAAGCAAATATTTACTGCAACCCTTTCTTCCACCATTTTTTTAGCAAGATTGCTAATGCCACTTAATTGAGAAAAATCATTATCGGAATGCATAAAATAAATATCAATATCAAGTTTTTTTTAAGGGAGAATATAATATCAAGTTGAGGAAGGGATGGGGTGGGACTGCGGGGGGACGTGATAGCGGTTTGGGGTTTTTATTTATTTATTTAATGATACAAATGTAAAATTCATTAGTTATCAAGAAACTTTACAAAATAAAAACCCAAAAAAGTACCACAAAGAAAAAGTGGGCCTTGAAAACAAGAAAACAAGCAACACCTCAACCATCTCACCAAAAGCCTCAGCAAAATATTAGGCCCACAAACAAACAGCAAAAATCGAACAAAACCAAACAATTGGCCTAAAGAGCTTTATGGGCCAAGTCTTAAAATAGAAAAAAATATTTCTTCTTCGCGCGGTCGTCTTCTCTAGGAAGACGCCGCCGCTGAAGCTGCACTGGCTGTCATCTTCGAGTATGAGAGGTCTCAGAAAATTTCAAAGCACAATTTAGGCTCTACGAAGGGTCCGAGGACCTCCCAGGTCCCTCTTTAGATCCGCCACTGAATGCAAGTAGGAGTAGAAGACAAGAAATTAATAAAATAATAGTTAAATAAAATAAAAAGAAAAAAAATAGTGTAATAAAATAATATTTAATTTGACATACCGGATGGAGAGCAAAATTTTGAAAGATGTCAAAATGTCACATAGGCTGTTAAATTCAAATTTTATGTTTAACATTTGATATCTTTTTTGGAGATGCTCTTAGTATGCATCACAAATGACATGTGTCATCTGCCCTGTCAGCAAGAACTACTCAATCGTCTTGATCTTATGTATTTGCCTTGTATATGTAAACATTGTTAGGTTTGAACCTCATTAAAATTATGTTCCACTGATTCTTTTAATTGCATTTCAGATTCTGCTTTCCAAACCTTTTTCTATCATATTAGATCGATATTTCATTTGTATTTATACCATGAAGATTTCTCTATCACTTGTCCATCGAGTTGTACTTCCGGCCCGTGTTCCTGAATGTAGTTCCACAGGGAGAGTTTGGATATGAATTTCATCAACTTATGATCTGCAGGTTTCAGTAGCTTATCAACTTTATGAACTTAAAGTACAGCTTGGGAATCCCGTATTTTTTTCTAATGCTTGTTTAATGAAGCAAGTTATTTCTGCCGGAAGATAGAAATGTTATTCCCTTGGTCCCAAATAATATATAAATTAAACTCAGGATTTCCTTCTCCCATAAAAACCAAGTCTGAAGTTTGATCTTCGGCGCTGCCTACTGACGACTGTATGAAGAAGCTGGAGTACCATCCCTTGGTTTCCAAGGGATCTCTTCAGAGCTTGAAACCCATATCTAGCTAATGTAAATATATCTGGGAGGGTCAAAACATTTAATTTATGCTGGATTTAGATTTTAAATCATGTATTTCTATGCCGGTTAAAGCACAAGGATGGCTAACTTGATGCACGGTACAGGAAAGTCATTTCTTTTAGAGTTGTTAAACCGAACGTACAACATTTTGTATACAGTGTGGTCTCTTTAATATTACTCGACTTTTTTATTATATAAAAGTTAGTACTACTTTGGTAAAGTTATAAAAATAAAAAGAAGTACAAATACAACTTGCAAAGTGGAATCAAAGCTGTTCTGTCTAAAATAAATAAATGTTCTATGAACATTTTTATTTTTCCAACTCACAATTAATCATGTTTTTGTGATAAAAAAAAATGAAGTAAAAAAGAAGGGGAGGAAGCACTACACAAACTGTATAATATAACTTTCATGTCATAACAGAATTTGAACCCAGATGCCTTCACTTGGAATTTGCTGATGCACCACATAGAGAAGATAATATCCGGAAGGCGCAAGATTACCGGAACCCGGCGTCGTCACCTGAACTTGGTACGTCATTGTCCCTACCTTTTTGACCGTCTCCGCCGCAAGAACCAGCAGCCTCTGATTCATTGAGAAGGAATGTGTATTAAATGACGGCGCCACGATCGTCACCATCACCAAATTCGTTGCCATGCTTCCCTTCAACGAAAACCGAATGAATAATTTTTTTCCGTAACTGATTTTAGCTTGTGATTTGGGATCAACGATTCTCGGACGCAACTTCGAGTACTTGGCATCCAAATAATCAGGACTAAATGCCTCTAATCTCAATTCTGTTGGAAATAACTCATCGGCTAACTCGTATTTATCATGAGGGTTACTACCTCCAACGAGTACCCTACCATCACGTAGTAATACCGCGGTGGAATGGTACATTCGCGGTATTGAGGCAGGGTTTGGTTTTTCAAACCGTGACCCAACAGCGTTATCTGGTCGGTACACAAGTGGTTCGAGCACAGGATTCTGTCCGAGTTCCCAACCAGCAGTCCCAAAAGATGCACCATTGATGATCAAAACGGTGCCATCTGGGAGCAATAACATGTCACTCATGACTCTAGCTTGAGGCATAGTCTCCACAACCCACTGCGGCTTCGGGTCGTTTATTTTGATCCGACCGCATGTGTTGAGAGCTTCCACAAAAGTACCCTTTATTGCCTTGATATAAGACCCTTTCGGAGCTCCACCACAGACCAAAACCTCAGCCTCAATAGACGGAGTCGTCAAGTTCCTTAATGGCAGCAACACGGCTGAACCGGTGCTAGGGTACGACCTCGGGTCGCCGCCGGGTATTTGCGGGTAGGTTTTAACGACTTTGTTCATGACATAATCGAACAGAATTGCTCGATTGTTTGCGAAAATGAATAAATTCCCATCGACATTGAGGAAAACATAAGGGTAAAGATTGTTTTCCTCGTTGGGGTCGTTAGTCTGCACAAGGAAGGGAAAGCTGTAGACATGGTTCGAAGACTCGGTCTTCGGATAAAACTCGTAGTTGAACTGCCGCCTTCCGCCGATGATGATCTGCCGTCCGTCGGGCAGAATATGATCGGTGGCGTACCAGCGGTTCACGCCTAAGGTATTCTCATACTCCTTCCAATCACAACCAGTGCAGGGCTCGAAAACCCTAACGCGGCGCTCTCCTATATCGTAGCCGCCGGTTTGGATCAAGTTGCCGTTGGGGGCTACGGAGCCGGAGGAGCACCAAATGTCGGATTGAACCGTGAGGGGGCGGACGGTATTAGTTGTGACGTCGTACTCGGCGGAGTGGGCGGTGCAGTCGTTTCTGACGCATGTACCGTTGGGTAAGGACAAGTTGGATTTGCCGAAGTCGGTGCGGTCGAACATGATGACGCGGTCGTTGTAGAGGAGTTGCATGTGCATGGCGGAAATGCCGACGTTTTGTTGCAAGAGCTGCCATTTTCCACCAGCAGCGCGGGTAGTAGTGAGAGAAAATTGAAATGACAAGATAAATAATGAAAAAATCATGAGATCAGAAACTAGACTAATTGGCTTCATTTTTTTTTCCTTGTGTTTTTGGTATTTTGGGGCTCTTAATTTTCTTGGGTCAGAAACTAGCTTTGTATCTCTAATTTGTGCTTTAGCTAGCGCTCTGTGGGTCTGTCTGCCTCAACCTGGGCCTCTTTAAATAGAAGGGTTTAAGCTTCCCAGAGTAATGTCAGAGGGAGAATTTTTTTTTTTTAACAAAAATGTTATTTTTACCAGATTTTTTATACTACCACATTTATATTATATTTCTAATGTGGGTGTGACCTACATATGTTAGTGGGTCTTACCTCTAATATAGACGTGGTACAATTATGTGGTAAGAAATATGATAAGTATAACATTACTCTCTTTTTAAACCACATGCGTAAACCATATACATGATGTCATTGTTGACGGTTGATCTGCTTATTTAAAATCCTCTTTAAAGAGTAATACTAAATAGATCCATTTTTAAACCACATTTACAAACCATGTGATGTGTTACCAATAAAAAAATAAGTACGTTAATCAACAATTAAGTAATAATTCAATTATCAACATCTGGTGAATCGCATGATGGTGGCCAGGTGGAGGGTGAAATGCCTTTGTGAATCTTTGCGGCCTTTGGAAGGGTGAATTGCAGTGCTCCGATTGCAATGGTGAAGCCACCAGCTAATCCTCTTTAAAAAAAAAAATTATCAACAATCACGTTATATGATTTCTAATAAAAATATATAACGTAATATTTTATTCAAACCTCCCTTCTATAAAACAAAAAAAATCGTCGTTTATTCTAATTATATTCTTACTTAGCTAAGTCTCTCATCTAGGACCTTGCCTGGGCCTGCAAAGTTTCATTCCAATATCACTAATATTTATATTTTTGGTAATATATTCACTAATATTCCACTTTGACAAAGACCTGAACATTCAGAAGCAAAAACTTGAATAATACACATGCAAAAAGAAGGAAGCTTTTGCCATATATAAACCGCCATACACGAATCTACATTGTCATTTAATCACGTTTTTATTAGCTTTTTCTCTTTAACGCATATATGATTTAAAGATCAGCAGACATATTTTAAAAATAACTTTTCTCCTTTTCAAAGGAAAAAAAAAAAAAAAAACTCCAGATTACAACTTTTAATAAAACTTTAACAATTAATGAACGATGACCAGCTTTAAGTTAGAATTCAAAAAGGTGGGCTGCGTGGCTGCTCGAATCAGTTCAGTTCTTTCGGTGATACCAAAACAAACTGTAAAGAAACAATATTCTCTGCACATATTTGCTGAGGTCCTTAGCTTTAAGCAAAGCAAACATTCTGCTAAGTAACGAAAATAATATTTTTCAAGGGGATATGTTTTCTTTAGTTTATTTTGATGATTATCTTTTCTGGTCATGACGCGTATACATCCATGCATTCTTTCACTGAATTTATAATGTATTTCTGATCTCCTTCTTACAATTATTGAAAATCGTTCTATTTACATTATCAACTAACAGCAGGACTTGGTATATATACTTATTATATGTAATTTTTTCAGGCAGCGCCTTTATCGTTTTTTCCTTGCCAAGATCATTTTTCTTATTGATCTTCTAATATTTAAATAAATAATTTCTTCTTTTTTATTCTCATTCTGCAATGTCTACGTGATGATCATAACTGTATACTTTCTAATTCAACCAATAAAAATTAACTCTAACGTTGTCAGAAATTCAGTATTTAATAGTATAGGATGCTTCATTTACTTATTTGATAGCCGATTGATGGCTAAACTATTTAAAATTTAGTTGATTTTGGTAGACTTGATGCTGAAATGCTGACTTAATGAATAGAAAATTTAGATCATCACACAATATTGTAAAATGAGAAAAAGAGGCGAAAAAATAATGAGAATGTTTCGGATAAGGAGGTTCCTAGCTTTCCTGTCAAATTAATTAATTTATCAACCACAAACTTTTTAGTCCGGTTTAGACAGCGGACCATATAAAAGTTGAAGCTCTTAGTTCATGAACCCAGAAGAATAATTTAACCACCATGTGCGTGCTTTTAACCACCAAACCGTATGCGTCAAACCTTTGATATGTTCGTGAACTTACAAGCACTAGAGAGAATAAATCAACTTGCTTACCAGCAGGAGACATAAACATTACTGTTGGAGAGACAAAAATATATTACTGCAAGAAGCATTATTATTTGACGAGGACCTTGTTGGCCTAATTAATAGTTGCAAAGACTTTTTTGACAGGGATTGAGAACTTGGTTTTCTCCTATAGTTTTTATTTTTTATTTTTATTTTTATGTTTTTACCTCTTGAAAAATCAATGGTTGAGATAGCTTTTTGGTTTTTATCAATGGCCAAAATACTTCACTGATGAAAAATGATTTTTAATATTTTAGTTCTTACATTTAGGAATTATACTATAAGGACTTCCCGTTGCAAACAATATTCTTTTAGGGCTTGAATATTTCTTTAAAGCCCCTAAATGAGTCCTTAAAGTCGGTAGTGGGAGTTCCTAAGTAGGGGCTCCCATTGGAGATGCTTTTAATAGGGAAACTACATATTTATACCACTTTGTTAGATCATATCATATGGCAAGTGATACACACAATCAATATACAATAAGATTTTATTAAAGGAAGTTTTAACGAAAAGCCCGCGGTACTGTTTATTTTAACGAAAAATCATACTTTTACACTAAAAAGTCAATCATGGTACTATTCAATTTACCCTTTATTTTGTCCTTATTGTTAAAACTCAAAGTTTTTATGCCATTTTCATTAGTTTTCCTTTTATTAAATGTAGTATGTACACATTACTAATAACATTAGATGGTACACCAATGTGATATTCATAACATTTTTCATTTTAAGAGAAGGACACCTATATGTATTCCCAACATATAAAAAAAATTAAAAAAAATACTTAGATTAATGTTTTACAAGTCATTACATGCCCAATTGGCTCCCATAAGGCACAAGGTCCATATTTTGATCAATGGACCCTTAATTAATATTTTGAGTAATCAAGCCCATTACCAAGCCACTTCTCTAATTACCAAGTCATATTGGTACGTGCGTGTATTAGTGGTGGTGAGATCCTGAACAAAACGCCTACTTTTATTTTTCATTCAAACTCAATCTTTCAAACCCCCTCCCCAAGTTTGATTCTGGAGGATTTGTGATTGCATAGCCTCACAAGTGCAGGAAATTAGTGTTACTTATATTCCTCTTCTTTGTAACGATAGCTAAGTTTGTCTCTCAGTTGTGAGTTCTTTAGTTTGGTTTGAGGACCCTCTCAATGTTTTCACAATGTTCTCTTCCAAAACTTGATACTTCATTAAAATAATTAAAATCCCTCAAAATCCTAATTGAATACATCCTCCTAAGTTTGATTAACAGTAAATATTGTTCTATTAATAAAAAATAACAGTACGTGTATACATTTAAGTGGGATTTCGTTTCAATGCTGAAAAGGATTTATGTTAATTTGGTATTTGCTTCATATTAGTTTTCGTTTCTGACTAAATACCAAATCTGAAAAATAAAAAGACTCACGTCATCTTGCTGAATCTGAATCTCCAAGGATTCTAAAACCCTAATTTTGTTCATAACTCAGAAAAATCTCCCCCTTTTCTTTTAATCCGGGCTGCTCTGCATCACTAAACCAATGGATCAGAAACAATAATTTTTGAAGATATCCACGTTTGTATATCTCTTATCCATTTCTAATTTTTACATGCTAATTAACTAGCCTTGAATTAATCTATTATAATATTCATACCCTACTATTCCATTCTTGAAAGTAGATTTTTCTTCTCATATCGATCTTTAGTTTTAATGAACTTCAATCTAGTCGGTTGTTTTCCTCGTACATACAAACATTCACGACCAAAAATAAATAAATAAATAATTTTGCAAGACAAAAAATTTTTGTCAAGTCAAATGGAGTTTCGTCACCTAAAATTTTAGGTAACGAAAAAAGTTTGTCGCTTAAAAGCCATCGCCTGAAGTCTTACTCGACGAACAGAAATTAATTATTCGTTTACATCCGGCGAACGGAGTCGTCGAAAAAAGCTGCATTGACCGCCTTATTCGCAATTGAAGTGATTCTATAATTCGTTATTAGTAAACTAGCACAAGCATCATACAACTACATATAACTTTTATAAAGCAAAATTTAGCCTCGTTTGGAATATGTGATCCAATTGGATATATTGAATAATTCACATTTAATATTGCATGATGAGGAAGAAATTGATGTCAGTTTTTTGAAGTTTTATCCAATTTAAAAGTAAAAGATGGATAATCACGAAAGAAACTTCCCACAAGTGTATATATTATTTTTATGAGGAGAGGGATAACTTAACTAATTCATTTTCTACCCTCAACTTGGATAAAATTTGAAAATCGGCAGCCACTCCTTCAACATACATTGAATCTAGTAACTTGTCAAGTCTAATCGTAGACAACAAACGAAGCCTTCTAGTCTACCTTCTAGACATTATTGTAGTGCTCTATATTTTGACTCCAATACGCATTGCTTTCCCCTTTTATCTTGAATTCTATTAACTGATCATTGTACACATGAAATTGGTCTTTGTTGAAAGTATTGTATATCCCACGTCGAAAATGGAAGCCTTGCAAAACTAGTTTAAGAGATTTTCCCCTCACTATCCACCCACAGTACTATGTGCACAGTCTTCAGCGAATGGTCTTAACCCCCTATAAAAGGTACTATAAGGAACATTTTTGGATTAGTGATGAAAAAACCGTTGGTTTCAATGGGCATCATTATTGGCTAGAGTCAGGCCAGGAAATAGCCCGTAAAAAGCTTCAAGACAAAGTTCCCTCCGGCGCAAAACTTGTACTGATATCACCCGACTTTCGATCATTTTTATTCCGAATCAAAACTACGTGATCTGGTTTTGCATCTTTAGGTTTATTGCAGTTCATGGAAACCAATTAAGCATCGTTTTTTTTGCGGTTTCTACTTGATGGAAATGCTGAATGTTGTTCTGGCCTAAGCTGTTTTGTGCACTTTGTGAAAATTGTTGGTTTAGTGTGAGGAAGTTTATTAGGCCGGCGGACCAGATTTTTCAAGGACTATTGTATTAAAAAAAATGTAAAGGTCATCCTATCCCTCGAATTGTTGAACAACATCGATTTTTTAGGATAGAGCAGTGGAGAATGTTTTGAATGATAATTTTATTCTTCTCAATGAGAGATATTTATACAAGTGTACAACTCTAATGTAAAGGGAAGAAAACTAATTACACGAGATTACAAGAGATTACACAGAATTGATATCAATTAGGAATCCTACCTAAAATACAAAGTCAACACTCCCCCTCAAGTTGGTGCATATATGTTACTCATGTCCAACTTGTGTAAAAAACATTAAAACTTATGACTTGAAACAGCTTTCGTGAGGATATCTGTCAACTAATCCTCTGTTCTTATTGTCGGTAGCTCAATTATTTTTTCTTCTAATTTTTCTTTGATGAAGAACCGACCAACTTCAACATGCTTTGTTCTATCA